ACTACACTACGACTACTACTACTACTACTACTACTACTACTTACTACTACTACAACTAGACTGCTACAACTACTACTACTAAACATACTACTACTACTAACTATTACTACTACTACTACAACTACCTACTAACTATTAACTAACTACTACGACTACTACTACTACTACTACTACTACTACTACTTCTCATGGCGCGAGGCGTGTGCGCGGCCCGGGGGGGGCGGGACGTATTGGAAGAAGGAGATGCGCCGTGAAATCTGGGGAGATGTCATGGCCCCCGCCATCATGTCCAATCCCCCCTGGTCATCACCCCCCTCTTGGCCGCCCCCCAGGGGAGGGGGTCGAGGACGTCCAGTGGGCCCTCGCCGTTGAACCAAAATTACGGCGTCGGGGAAGCCTGGGCTACCCTGTCCTGCCTCCACCCCCCCCTCCAGGAGTGAAGGCGAATGGGGACCCCAAAGGCGAGAGGGGAAGGAGAAGGAGGAGGCTCCGGGCGCGAAGGGGGCCTGGTGGACTTCGAGTCCTGCGTTCTGTCCCTTGCGTGGACTCCTCCCTCCTTTCCTCTCCCAGGGAGAGAGAAAGAGAGAGGCGAAGAGAGATAGAGGCGCAGAGAGAGAGAGAGAGAAAGAACAACAACAAAAAGAGAGACAGAGGCGCAACAAAAACCTTTGAAATTCACGGGGCCACAGCCTGACACTGAAGAGGACTCGGGTCGAAAGAAAGGGGGTTTAGCAGAAAGAGGGGGTGGGAAGCAGGCCACGCAGCTGACTTTCCCGGCGCCTGCCGGCACCTGGGGCGCAAGGTGTATCGAGGGGAGGCGCTCGGCGGCGGGTTCAAGACCAGCTGCCCAAACCAGCCCCCCCTTGCCCTATCGCCCCCCATTCCCTGACCCCCGACGTCGTGAGTTGGTTCACGGCATGGCCCCCCAAGAGGTCTGGACAACCTTCCCGGGACCAGCCCGTCATCCCGAGAGCAGTGCTCCTGCGGTCCTGCCAGGGGCCTCGGGCGGGCGGACACGTCCAGCAAAAAAAACAGCCCGTGCTGGTTCTTCGCAACGCGAGGTGGTCTGGGCCTCGTTAGCGGCCTCCTGGATGGGGTCCGAGTAGATGCGGTCGGAGTATCTCACCGCATCGCCGATGCATCGGCGATGCACTGGCGACGTCGACGATGCGTCGGCGACGTCGGCGTGGAGAACATTGAGCCCCACATCGAGCCGCATCGCGGATGCATCGCCGATGCATCGCCTGATGCGGCACGATCCTCCGACCCCATCTACTCCGACCCCATCTAGGGAGCCTAGATTCGTTCGACCCGAGGGACGAGGGACAATGGGGGGGGGGGGCGTGACGCTCGCGTGCCCTGCCTTCTCGGACCTGCCAGGGGGGAGGGCCCTCGCCGCCACACGCTGGTCTCGCCCCGAGCTGCCTGGTCCTGGCCCGCTTCCATCAGGGCAGGCCCCCGAGGGGTGTGCGGAGCTGTTGGAGGCGCTCCTGGGGATGTGCCCCTGGGGGTGTGCCCCTGGGGGCGGGTCCCTGAGTGGCGCCCTGGGAGTGTCCTTAGGGGGCCCTGGGGGCGACCCTGGGTGGGCCCTGGTCCCACCGGGGGGGGGTGGTCGTAAGTACGCTGTGGCCCCACCCTGGCACCTACCAAGGCATGTAGTCGTCGGTTGGCTCTGTGGAGGTGACCAGGAAGCGACGAGGAACCCCGACAGTCATCGGTTGGCGTTGTGGTCGTCGGTTGGCGGTTGGCGTTGTTCGGGGTCACGTTGCTCACAAGCAACCCACATAACGAGGATACGCGATAAGGATGCAAGGGCCTTGGAAGGCCATGTCGACGCTCTGGGTGCGGGGCGCGGCCAGCGAAAGTGGCCAAGGATGGGCCGAAGGAGAAGGATGCAAGGTATCCTTATTGCACGATGACTGTAGGGCTTGGCCTTACAGCTATCGTGCCACCATGCGAAACGTACGCTGCACACGGAAGGAAGGGATCTTTTTTAGCCACGGCGAGCCTCGGCCACGAAGAGGTCCCTTGGCCTCGATCGAAGGAACGGCCCGACAACCAAAGCCCCACCTGAGCTCAAAGCGGTCCTTGCTTGAGCGCCCTGGCTGTGCCCATCCATACAGGTCCTGGTCAGGCCTCGTCCTGGCCCAAGATCTGCAGATGTTTCTTCCTGGCTAGGCCGAGGTGGCATGTCCCCTGATCTTTCGTGGTTGGCGACAGTGTCACGATATTGTCCCGGTGGGCGTGTCGCGCCCAGACGTGGTTGGGCAGAACTGGCGGCGCGACACGCTAAACCAAAATCCCCTGACCGTAAACGTGGAGAAAACTTCAAGATGCTCAAGTTCGTGGCTCAGAGGCTGAACGGACACAACTCAAAAGAATGAGCGGGGAACTGAACGTAAAACGCGGGAACTACACGCCAGATCCACCCCGTCCCCATCCTCATCGACCGGAAGCTCTTGTGCCGTACTGATATACCGCTTCATCACCTCCACTCTCACCACCACCAGCACCACTGCCGCCTCCACCACCATCCCCACCCACCCCCAGTCCCAATCAACTGATGCTCGGCACGTCCTGACCCCCCCCTCCCCCCACGGGCACGTACACACATAAACACACACGCACACACACACACAACACACACACCTTTGCGGCGCGCCAGGAGATGGGGGCCCTGCCTTCTGAGAAGGCCGGATCCCGCGCACCGCTCACATCTGCACGCCGCCGTCGTAGTCCACTACCGACCGAACAAAAATCCCCCACCTCTCTGGGCCCTGAGTCGGCCGAAAGAGGGACGTCCTGATACACCGTCCGCCACGGGAGGTCGGGGGATCTGCTTGTCGAACTGAACGCACGTGCGCGACAGCGGCCCAGGGATGCGGTACTGGCAGGCAAGTCGCGGCAAGGGCACGTGCACGAGCAGACGGTGATAGAAAGCATAGCTGATGCAGGTGAGAACATGTGCCTGGTCAAATGCGGACATACAGCTAATCCTCCATCCCTCCACAGCAAGGTACTCTGGCAACGTTGTAAAACTCACTTCAGAGGTGGAGCCAGGGCAATACCAAATACGCCTTTGCTCATCTTGGGGACAAACCCGTGGAACAATTGGACGTCTCATGCCTCGATCCAACACCGAACCTTTGACGAGAAAGTTCAACGTGGGATATTCGAAGCTTCCAGGTTGGAGATCGAAGCGTCCAATTCGGCGGCGACAGGCCTCAGGATCAGGGATCGGAGCCTTTCGTCCCAGGCCAGCGGCCGCTCCCTTCGGCCAGACTGGCGCTCTTCGCCGACGATCGTCGGCGGGGCGAGAAGATTGGCAGGGGCTGAGCCGAAAGGCAACAACATCGTTCAAGCCCGAGGGTGTACGCGAGAAGGTCCACTCCACGCAACGGGCGAAGAGAAGCGGCCGTCCTGGCCAGGCTGGAAGTACGTGCTCCGCACCTTGGCCTGCGGGCTGCGGACGGAGGCGGACGGAGGAGAGGGAGGAGACTGCCACGCAAGAACTGCTTGCACATCCCAGCAGGGAGGGAGAAGACGTGGAAGATCGGGAGGACAAGCAGGGACATGGATAGACGGCCGAGGAGTCAAAAGCGAATAGCTGGACCCACCACTGCGCCGTCCCTGGGCTGGTGTGTGTACGTGTGCGCGTGTGTACTGTTGTCACTGCACGGATTGCAGCAACGTATGGTGTCCGTCGCTTCGCCTCTCACATGTTGCTGTGCGGAAACAAGTCAGATGAAGTCAACGACCCTGGCCAAGGAATAGCGCGCGTGTGTGCGTGTGTGTGTGATGGATTTACGCTGGGCATCCAGCTATACCCACGCCCGCACCAACGTGACCGACTTACTCTGAGAGGATCCAACCTTAAATCTGATTTGCCCGCTGGCTGCATCCATCAGCAGGCCGGAAGAAGCGTGCGCGTCTGTCTGTCTGTCTGTCTGTTTGTCTGTCTGTCTGTCTGTCTGTCTGTGTGTCTGTCTGTCTGTCCGTCCGGCTGTCTGTCTGTGTTTGTGTGTGTCTGTGTCTGTGTCTGTGTCTGTGTCTGTGTCCGTGTCCGTGTCCGTGTCCGTGTCCGTGTCAATGTCCGTGTCCGTGTCCGTGTCCGTGTCCGAATCCGTGTCCGTGCCCGTGCCCGTCCGTGTCCGTGTCCGTGCCCGTGCCCGTCCGTGTCCGTGTCCGTGCCCGTGCCCGTGCCCGTGCCCGTGCCCGTGCCCGTGTCCGTATTTGTGCCCGTGCCCGTGCCCATGCCCGTGCCCGTGCCCGTGCCCGTGTCCGTACCGGTGCCGGTGCCGGTGCCAGCAGCCGGTGCCAGTGCCCGTGCCGTTGCCGGTGCCGGTGCCCGTGCCTTTGCCTGTAGCTTTGCCTGTGCCTGTGCCCGCGTGCGTGTGTGCGCGTGTGTGTGAATGTGTGTGTGTGTGAGAATGTGTGTGTGTGAATGTTTGTATGCGTTTGCGCGTATGTTTGTGCGTGTGTGTGTGCGTGTGCGAGGGAACTCATCTGCGCGCGTGCGCGCGTGCTCGTGGACGCGCGTGAGCGCGGGCACGCAGGCGCGCGCGCGAGCGGGCGCACGTGCGCTTGCACGTGGGGGCGCGTATGCGTGTGCGCGCGACTGCGCGTGTAATCGCTGTGCGAGCACGCGTGAATGCGTGTGTGCGTGTGTGCGTGTGTGCGTGTGCGCCCTTTGCGCCCTTGCGCGTGCGCGCGGGCGCGAGTGTTGGCGCGTGCGACGTGCGTGCGTGCGTGTGCGTTCATATGTGCACTCGTGCGTGCGTGCGTGCGTGCGTGCGTGCGTGCGTGCGTGCGTGTATGTGGGCGTGCGCGTGCACTCGCGTGCGCGTGGGTGTGCGGGCGCGTGTGCGTGTGCATGTGCGTGCGCGTGTGCGTGTGCGTGCGCGTATGCGTTTGTTGTGGTGTGTGTGTGTGTGTCTGTCTGTCTGTCTGTCTGGCTGGCTGGCTGTCTGTCTGCCTGTCTGACTGGCTGTCTGTGTATGTTTGTGTGCGCGAATGCGTGCGTGCATGCGTGCGCGCGTGCGTGCGTGCGTGTGTAGATGTGTGGGTGCGTGCGCGTGCTGTCCTCAGAGGTGCCGCCGGCCCGCCACGAAGACAGGCTGGCGACGCTCGCCCTGAGCGTCGATGCAGATCTTTGTGCGCGTGTGTGGCGGACGTCCTTCCTCGGCGCTTCTCCGTGCGAGGCAGCCCAGCACCGTGCCCTCGGCACGCTGGGACGCGTCGAACTGCCCGTCAGCTCTCTGGTAGGGTTATGCGCACCTGCTCTGGTCGGCCCCAGAGACGGCCAAATACCGCCGCCACACGGCCAAGGCAAGACTGGCACACAATGGCTCCAGAGACCCCCAGAGGCCTGGAGAGATATCCCCAGGATGCCCGCAGACGCCCCCACGAGGCGTCTGGAAGCTCTCCAGCCAGGGTCTGGGAGGCCAATCACAAGCACGTGCTTGTTCGGTATTTGAGCTGTCTTGCATGGCTTAGGATGGCCTCAGGAAGGCTTCACAGAGCCCCAAGAAGACTTCGAAAAGCCTCGGCACGAAGCAGTCCCAACAAGAGCCCGAAGACGGTCCAAGAACCTCTCCAGGCGACCTTGACCCGCCGTGAGAAGCCTCCAAGATGGCCCCAAGACCCAACCACATGGCCCAAAGATGGTTCTGCCAACTCCTGTCGGAAAAGCTCGGTACAACGATCGCGCCCAAGACGGCCCCAAGACCCCCAACCGGGCCCCGAGAAGCCATCCAGGGCCACCCTGGGGTTCCCATAGGGCCCCCCGAGAGTCCAAAGCAGCTCCAACTCGCCCAAGTTGCCAAGCCCCTCCACAGCATGCTACAGCCCACTCTCGTCCAGCTCATCCTCCCTCTTCCACCTTATTCCATCCTTCGCCTCCTCCTCCTCCTCCTCACCCTTGTCCTCCTCATCCTCATCCGCATCATCCTTCTCGGCAACCTCATCCTCCTCATCCTTATCATCCTCAGAGTCATCGTCCTGATCACCATCCTCATGATCATCCTCATCCTCATCCTCAGCATCATCATCATCATCATCATCATCATCATCATCATCATGATCAGCAGCAGCATCATCATCATCATGTTCATCCTCATCAGCATCCTCATCATAATTCTCATCATCATCATTATCACATTCACCATCGTCATCACTATCATCCTCATCATCCTCATCATCCTCATCATCATCATCATCATCATCATCATCAGAATCATCATCATCATCAGCATCGTCATCATCGTCAGCATCAGCATCACCAGCAGCATCATCATCATGATCAGCATCATGAGAATCATCCTCATCCTCATCCTCATCCTCCTATTCATCCTCAGCCTCATCCTCATCCTCATCATCATAATCAGCATCAGCATCAGCATCATCGTCGTCAGCATCATCGTCATCAGCATCAGCATTAGCACCAGCATCATCATCAACATCATCATCATCATCACTATCCTAATCCTCCTGGTCATCCTCCTCATCATCACCATCACCGTCAACATCTCAAAGCCATCGCCACCCTCATTTCAGCACCACCGCCATCCCTCTCTTCCTGCCTACCATCATCCGACCATTCTCCACACCCCGATCATCCCCTTAAACTTCTCCCCCGTTTACATCCTCCCTCACATGCTATTCCCTCTTGACATTCATCCCAACTGTGCAACACAACTGGCCGATAGCAACTCGATCTGGATGCTCCCTTCCGATCGGTCTAAAAAAAAAGCCAACCGCTTCGCTTCAACATGTTTCGAACCAACCTGGACATGACGTCGCCCACATTGCCAGACGCGTGGCAGTAATGGGGCGGGGCGTAAACCCCGCGCGGAAAGGCTGAAATGTCGCTCTCGCCGATGCGCCGCACTCCTTTCTGTAGACCAAGGGGCTCCCGCTCGGGCGCGTCGCGCGTGCCTCGCACGCAACTTCGCCGACGCGCGAGCCGACGAACATGTAGCGCTCGCCCCGACGCCGCGCACGTTTCGCCCGAAAGTGGCGATCCCGCCTCCGGTGGTCCGCGGCTGCCACTCGCCCATCTTGCTGGGGCCCGCGCGCATGGGCGACTTGGTGGCCTCGCCCGAGCTGCGTGCGCGTGGGAATGAGAAGGGGCGGGGCTTCTCGGAAGGCTCGGAAGTCCCCTGGCCTTCTGAGAAGTTTTCTGAGTCTCCCCCGAAGACACGAAACACTTCTCAGAAGGCGCGAGGGCTTCTGCGGAGTCCCGCCGCCTTCTGAGAAGGCCTACTTCTCACTTCCCCCCCTCGCTCGCCGCCGAGTGTAAGCGACGGCGGCACGGCGGGCCCGCGCGAGGGCGGGCGACACGCCGCCCTCGCGCGAGGGCGCCGCAGCGTTCTGGCTGGGGAAGGGTGGCAGCGCGGTGTCGGCGCGGCGTGCTTCGCTCCCGCGGCGCCCCGCGGAGGTGTTGCCGCTCCCGCCCCCGCGCGCACCCGCAGGAGCCCTCTCTCTGCGCCAAATATCGTCGGAAGCGGGGCCGCGTGCGGGCGTCTTCCGTTTTGGCGGGGTGGGAGCGTGCTCCGATTCCAACATCAAGTCGTGCCACAAGTCGTTCTTGGATTGTGGGAGGGAGAGCGGTGGCAATCTTGACTCCTACTCCTACTCCCAGTCTTCCTCCTCGGCCGCCTCGTACTCCTCCTTCCATCATCCTGCCCCCCTCTACCACTCGATCTCCCCCAAATCCTCCCCCATGTCCTCCACCTCCTCTTCGGCCTCCTCCATCTCTTCCCCCATCCCCTCCCCGCCTTCTCCTCTGGTTCCCTCCCATCCCCCCCTTCCTCTTGCTCCGTCCTCTTCCCGCCTCTCCTTCATTCCTCCTTCTTGTGGCATGAAGGAAGCGGGTCCTCAGCACAATGGGTCCTGGACCCACCCCCGGGGCCTTCCCCCAGGATCAGCTGTTCTTCATTCTGAATAGTTGTCTGATGGTCCCGGAGCCCGTGGAGGGCCCCAGGAGCTCGAAAACAGCAAGAAAAAACTCAGGTCCAACTTCCCTCAGGGCCCGTTTCCTTCATGGCGATTCCCTCCCCCCGAGGCGCTCCCCTCCTGGCCTGGGGATCGACCGACTTCGAGAAGTCCCACTGGGGAGACCGGGAGCTGGTCGAGCAGTAGAGGTGGCCGTCCAGCACCCCGGCGGTGAAAGAGTTGACCGTGCAGGTGAGCTTCTGGGCCTTGCCGGGTCCGTCTGCGGGCGCACCCGAGACTGCAGGGAATACCCCTCCACCCTGCAGGGCACTCCTCCTCCTCCTCCTCCTCCTCCTCCTCCTCCTCCTCCTCCTCCTCCAACTCCAACTCCTCCGCCGAGGCGGCCTGCTCCTTCCCCTGCTTTTCTTCCTCCTCCTCCTCCTCCTCCTCCTCTTCCTCCTCCTCCTCCTACTACTGCTGCTTCTCCTCCTACTCATCCTCCACATGTTGCTACTCGTGCGCCTCCTCCTCCTCCTCCTCCTCCTCCTCCTCTCCTCTCCTCCTCCTCCTCCCTCTCTTCCTCCCCTCCTCCTCCTCTCCCCTCCTCCTCCTCTCTTCCCCCGTCCTCCTCCTCCTCTCCCTCCTCTCTTCCCTCCTCCTCCTCCTCTTCCTCCGCGTCATCCTGCCCCTCCCTCTATTCATCATCGCGCTCCTCCTCCTCCTCCGCCTCAGCCATCTCGCGCCCAAGGGCGGTCGAGGGTGTCTCGCGTGCAAAGTTCGCGTCGTCAGCTGAAATGCTGAGAACAAGTGCGTGCGCACCCGCCTGGACACCAGTTCCTCTCGTCCTCGTCCCATCTCTCCTCCATCCTCCTCATCCTCCTTCTTTCTCTCCTCCTCCTCCTCCTCCTCCTCCTCCTCCTCCTTCTTCCTCTCCTCATTCTCTTTCATCGGGCGGGTGACCTAGATGGGGAGTGAAGAACAAGTTCCTCAAGGGACCCTTTAGGAGCCTTTTGGGGCCCCTACTGGCTCCAAACGGATCCCTAAAGGGCCCCTTTAGGCTTTTCTTCACCCCGCATCTACGTCCTCCCCATCACCACCCGCCCGATTTCACCTCCTCCTCCTCCTCCTCCTCCTCCTCCTCCGGCCTCAGGCGAGCAGCGGCGACCGTCGGCGCAAAGCACCATCAGCTACAACGCGGCGGTCACTGGACGCGAGAGGCAAACAGTGGGAGCCCGAGCGCAAGTATTTGCAGAAAGGACTGCGCAGGACAAGCCAACATCATCGGAAGCACCAGTGCAGGCCAGCAGGACGGAGGGCAGGTGCCAACACTACAAAATACAAACTTGAGGGGTTAGCGCGTGCGGCATGGCAGGCAGTGGCAACATGGACACCAGTGCTGGCAGGCAGAACGGGACAGCAGGAGCCCCATCCCATCAACTACATTGCAGAGGTCAGCGCGTGCCAACGGGCGGGCGATGGCAACCGAAACACCACGGCCAGCAGACGAGCAGCCACAGAACGAGCTGGCACCTCAGCTACAGCGCAGGAGTCAGAGCTCGGGCAGAGCGGCGGGCGGCGGCAGCGTGCGCCGTCGGCGCAGGGCAGAAAGGGCGGGCAGTGGCGGCTCCTCGGTCGTGGGCGCTCCGTTCACGGAAATGGCTGGCGCGGAGGCTGCCGCGCACAGGCAGAAGGCGGAGCCCAAGCGCCACCGGATACAGAGCGGGCGGCGAAGCAGCGCCTGGCTCGGCGACGCCGGCCCCTGCTGGGGCCAGAGGCTGGGAGGACGTGGGCCGTGGCAGCTGCAGTGCCCCGCAGGAGCACGCGGGCCGAGCGGGCGCGGGGAGGCGGCTCGGAGAGGGGAGAGAGCGGCGAAGCCACGCGCGTGGGCCCGACGGCCCGAGCCTTTTGCTGGGGCCAGGGGGTGTGCGGGGCGGCGGGCAGTGAGATGCGGTGCACCGTACGAACACGCGGTAAAGTCCAAGCGGCGCTCTGGGCGTGGGTGGTTTGAAGCGTTCCCCCTTCCACCCCTCCCTCTTCCCCGTCGGGGAGGGGTTCACCCCTCCCCCTCACCCCCTCTCCTGGACCCGAAGGGGGCGTTTCGCGAGGGGGGGGATCGTCCAAGATGGCCCAATGAGGGCCTCAGAGAGCCCAGGATGACCTCCAAGATGGCCCAAGATGGCTCAAGATAGTTTCCAATATGCTCCAAGAAGCTCCAAGACCACTCCAAGACAGCTCCAAGTTGCCACGGAACCTCGCCAGGAGGCCGCCATGAGGCCAACATCTGTTGAAAACCGAAGGACAATCAATGAATGTTGCCTTCTCGCCTTTTTGATTTAGATGGCCTTCCAAGGCCTCACGATGGCTCCAAGAGGGCCCAAAAGAGGTCCAATATAACCTCAAGCCGGCCCCAAGAGCGGCCAAAGGCGCTCCAGGGGCGCCCCAAGAGGCATTCTTAGGCGCTCCTGAAGGGGGGCCCTAATTGAAGCTCTGCCCTTCTTTGATCGATCTCCTCCAAGATGTCTCCAAGAGCGCCCCGAAGGCTCCCAAGAGTGCCTCAACAAGGCCCCAAGAGGCGCCCAGGAGGCCCCAAGAGGCGCCCACGAGGCACCCAAGAGGCTACAAAGAGACCCCCAAGAGGGCCGAAAAGGCTCCCCGAGGCACCCAAGTCGCTCAAAGACGCACTCGGGGCCGCCAAGAGGCCCCCAACAAGGGTTTCATGGTCACTTGACACCGCGCACACTCGGTTTCAACATTTACAAGAGCTTCCCGGATTGAGGGCGGCTCAGTGCCAAAAGTTGTCTCTCGCCTTCGCACCGCGCACATTCTTATAAAACATACGCAGTGCAAGAGTTTCACGGATTGAAGGCGGTTCCTTGTCAAAATGTGGCTCTCGACCTAGCGCCGCGCACATTCGTTCCAAACCTTTGCATGACCTTCACGGATCAGGGCGGGTCTTCTTCAACATGCCAGGAAGTGTGGAACGACTCAGGATTGCCAGAGCGCAGCAGTTCCGTTAATTCGCGGTGTTGAAGTCCAAGGACTAGCGTTCTGGCACGAGTCAGGATCATCAAGACGCAACTGTCAGGTTGACTCGTGGCGTTGAGGTCCTGGGAATGGTGTTTGGGCACCCTTATGGACTTTCATACGGTTGTCCCACAACGGGGCACTTCCCTAAGTGGAATTGAACCCTTGTATGGGGCCTATGGAGAGGGAGCTTGGAGGGAGGGTGTATTCCAACATCGTTGATGGGTGTTGGGTTTATACTGGTCCTCCTCCCCCTCCTCCTCCTACTTCCTCTTCCTCATCCTCCTACTCATCCTGTCGCCCCTCGCAGCACTTCCTTCAACTCCTCCACCTCCTCCCCGCACGGAGCAGACGAAGCAGCAGCAGCCGCGGCGGCGTCCGAGGGACCAGCCAGCGAGCACGCCGGTCGCCGGCGCGGCGGCGGAACGCGGGCCTTGCGCGGGGTGCTCTTCGCGAAGTGGGGCGCGGGGATGTGGCGCTCCGGCCTCCGCGGGGGGTCGTTCAGCTCTCCTGCCGGGCGGGGGGTCGGGCTCGGGCCCAGCGAGGATGTGATGTTTGTTCAATCCTGATATGGTTCCTCGATCTCGGCCGCTTGGGCCCCTTGCATAAGGCCCTGGGGCCATCAAAGATAGATCCCAGACGAAAAACTCCCCATTGGGAAGGGGGTGGGGCCGCGGATTGAAAAATCGTATCAGAGGATGTCTGGGGGGTTCGAAGTTTTCGGGCGTCTTGTTCGGTTACCCTGCGGTTTTCCAGCCTCGGGGTGCGTTCTGGCAGCTGCGCCACGCCGGGAGCGTCCCAGGGGTGCCCGGAACGTCCCGAACGGCCGCTGGAGAGCCGAGTTACGACGTGAAAGCCAAGTCGACGACAGGAGGGGACGAAGCAGAACTTGTCGGCGAGCCTGGGGGGGAAGTGAGAAGGGGCGTGCCTGCTCAGACGACTCGGAAGTCCCCTGGCCTTCTTTTCTAAGCCTTCCCCGAACACGCTGACACACTTCTCACAGGCGCGAGGGCTTCTGAGAAGTCCCGCCGCCTTCTGAGAAGGACTCCTCCTCCTCAGATCCCTCCTCGCTCGCCGCCGAAGAGCACCGCCCGCCCGCCACGCGCCCCATACTCCTCGGTCCTCCCTGCGGCGGGCTCCGAAAAATTCTCTGGAGCCCTCCCCCCCCAGCCCAAAAGAACACATCTGGCGACTGTTTACATCCGCTGGAGGAGGAGGAGGAGGAGGAGGAGGAGGAGGAGGAGGAGGAGGATCCCAGCAGAGCCGCCCCCGTTTTGCTTCCGCCAACTTCCGCCAGCTTCCGCCGAGGAGGAGGCGCCAACCCCCTTCGCCCCTCGAAGCCGCGGCGGCCCCTCTGGAGCGCCTCGTGCACGCACGCGGCGGGGGGTGCCCTCTGAGCCCCGGGGCGCCCCGAAGCTGCGCGGCGTGCGGGGGTGGGCGGGGGCCCTGACATTCGCCGACTTGTGTGTTTTCAGTCCCTGGCCCCAGAGGTTCCGACCGCTTGCCCAGGAGGTTACTGATCATCCTGCATCGGGGATGTA